CTTTACCTCAAACAAGAACTTAATTATCTTCCACCCTCTCTCTTCTATAAAAGTTTCCTATCTGTTACATTATTCCTATTTTGTAAATTTGCTACCTCACATTTAATTAAATTTGAAATGTGCTTCAGTAATCAAACTAATTGAAAAAGTGTTTAATCAGCACTTGATTATTTAAGTAGTGTTTGTACTTGCACTTGTTCAGGGCGGGAGGGGGGGGAAATGAAGTGGAAAGCTGCTTCCTTAGACTACTAGTGGATGGTATGATGGTCATATGGGTATCACTGCAGAGAGGATGTATGGACAGTGATTCGGGGCTTGAAAACTGGGCACTCCTGCTGGAGGCCAACGCTGATTGCTTCCATTGAGCCTGGGCTGCTATTCATGCTAAACATCCCTTGTTCCCTCATCATGCATGTGTCTGCTCAGAATGGCTTATGCCACCTCTTGTTCACACATGTTCGGGTTTGTTTCTTTCACCTTGAATTGGTAAGCTTGGAAGCTGGGAGAACAGAAATAGCTGACTTCTAGTTTGATTTTAGACAAAGAAATAGCTGTATTCTATGGCAAAAGGTGGTTATCTGCTGATTTTAATCAAGGGATTGCAATTATTCCTGAAATTCAGAACAGACTGAAAAAGGCAATCTTAAGTTGTGTGAAGCAAACCTGTAATAATTCTGTTTACTGGAGAATAAAGTATGGATTTTCACTACTGGAAGCCTTGTCTCAGGGTAACAGTGGACATGAAGTGAATTCAGCTGTACTCTTGCCCTCTCCATCAGATGAATAAATGTGGCACTGCTTGGTGCCCAGGGGCAACTTGAGTTAGTGGGGTGATGAATTAACGCTGTGAAGGGAAAGGGGCTGTGCTGCACAGCGCCTCTTTGCTTGTTTTGCTGGTGCTATTAGTCTATTTCTAAGCAACAATTTCAACTATAGTCCTTTCCAACAAGGAAGACAAAAAGAGGTTTCACATCAATAGAGCCCCAGCAGCCCTGGTTGCTTCCAGGCCCCATCATAAACTGGCGCCAGTAGTGCTGTGTATAGGTGTGGGTATGAAATGGGGAGAGTGCCACTATTCTGTGCCCACTTGACGGGGAAGTTCATGCCTGCATAGCTCCTGCCAGATGACACTTCTGCACGCGTGGCTCAATTGCAATAGTTGCTTGCATGTCTGCTTTTTAAGCTCAGGGTACTTGAAGGAGTGACTTAAAGCTGTATCATTGCTTTAAGGCCCTGGTTTTATGGATAGCCCAGGTAACGAGTTGCATATTCAAGGACATAAAGACATGAGGAAGATGTGAGAATTCAAAGTTTCCTGTGGGTGGTGTTGGAGGTCTGCAAGAGCCAAAACACTCTTGTCCAGATTGGCTTCCAGGGACAGTCCTGGGACAAACCATGCTCCAAACCGGACCTGATTTGCTTTGGAAGAAACTGCATAGTTCTCTCTGATAGTGAAGCCAGGAGCAAATAGGCACTTACGTACCTTGTGGGATACCAGTCACCAGGTCCCAAATGTGAAATTGGAAACTATGCTAGCCAAAACTGATGCAATTATTAGTTTCTGTATATGTATTCTCCTCACCGGTAAAAGTCTGAGCTGTTGCTTTCAGATTAAAAGAAAAATGAAAGCAATGTCAACAGTTCAAAAATAAACAATGGTACAGACAGTTACTTTTGCTACAAAACTTAGTGGGGTAACTATAGTGATAGGTAAAGCAGCTTACATGGCAGGGGATGCTGTGTTATGGTTAGGATTTTATTTTATGGAAATTATTTCTATCCGTGAACTACATTAGGCATTTCATTAAATAAGATGGAAAAAAATATGATTTCTTAAAGAGTAGTCTTTGCATTCCAGACAGTTGTTCATTTCCATAATCCATTCAGACAGCACACACTGGTTTATACCACACTGCACTTGGTAAAGCCCCCAGATGCATAGGTTAATATCGAAATGTTTTAAAAAAGCATACTTGTTAATGAACATAGGTGTGTGAAAGTCTTCTAGGCTGTATGCTGGGAAATCTCTCATTGCTATTCTTATGGAAGTTTGGAGAATAAATCACATTTGCAGCATGTTTTTTTTTTCAGTGGAGTTTGGAATAGACATTCTTTTGATCCTGTTCAGAAGATACGATGGATTTTAGGATACTAATTTCTATTGTATTTATAATTAACCACCAAAACTCTTTCTTACTTGGAATAAAATCAGACCTCCCCATTTGTTTATTTGTGCACTATCCAAATATGGTATTTAAAAAAATGGATGCATTTTGCTGATTTCATTTTATTCTTTCTTCCTACTCACATCAGTAGCCTTCTGAGATAAGGCTGGATTTTTTTTTTATTCTCATCACTACATATTTCATAGGGTAGTGTACCAACCTGACTTGAATGATGGTGGAGTTTTGTGGTGTATCTTCAGCTCACACATGATTAAATTATATTTCTTCCTGTCTGAATAAGCACTATATTGGAGTAGATTCATACTTTACTTAGAGTTAGGGAAGTGCATGTCAGTATTTCACTTGTGTGGCTCAGCTCAATAAAATATCGGTTTTGATGAGGTAGAGATAGAAAATCATAAAAGTAGAGGGGGGAAAAATCAAACATTAACAGTACAGATATAAAGCTGTTCTTTTGAAATGCCACCCAATAATATATATTGCGATCTCAAGTTATTGGAACATAGTTTGGTCAAAACAAGCTCAAGTACTGAGAAAAAAAAATATCAAATAACACCTTACTCCTCCCCCTTTTTTATTTTTTGGAAGAAGTCTGTTTAACTCTGTTTGTGAACATCACTGTTGCACAGTTAAATCTGGAATGCTTCACACACCATTACATACCACCTCCCTAGGAAAAGTCTCATCTTTGCTGCTGCATCACCTCTGAAACCTCCTACCATTAATAAGCAAAGGGTAGAGCTGTTTTTCTTGAGTTTTCTGTTGTGTGCAGTGTAACAAGTGGGACATTTAGTATGCCTGCTTGGCTCCGAACTCCTTTAGGGAGAGATTTGGTTGTTCCTGGAAAAAGACCAGTTGGGGGAAGCCTCCTGCTAAAAGGAAGGAGATGCTTTAGCACGTGTGAGGTTGGTCCTGCTCAGAAGCAGCTCAGAAATTCCAGAAGAACACAGTGAGGAGACTATGATAAGTGTTGGGATAAGCCTATCTGGGTTTCATCCTGTTCAAGATGTAATGTTCAAGAAGTGATACTTCTTGAAGTCTATTGAAAAATTTGAGGGTGCAAGAAGTATTTTGTAATTTAAGGAAAAGATGAAAATGTTGAAGAAATCAGGGTGGCCTGAGCATACTCAAAAACTTGGATGTAGAATAGGCAATTGATGGAAGAAATGAGGATGTTCTGAGCATCCCTCTTCTTGGGAGGAGGGCATGCACTGCTGCTGAGTGCTCACCTGTTTAAATCTGGGGAACACTTCAGTTAAGTCAAAGATAGCACAGTATCCAAGTATGTGAAAACTCACAATAAATTTCAGCAGCATCCCAAGCCAGGTTAAACTAAATAAGCTATGGGGAGAAAAGCATGTCAGAGAGGTAAGCAGGATAAAAAACAGCCTTTTTATTTTCAAATTAGTATTCTAAAGTAGCTGTCACGTATGATATAGAAAAGCTCCTAATAGACATGTTCATTTTCTTTATGATCACTGAATTGCTTTGACTCAGGCACCAACTTAGTTCCCCAGCCAAAATTTTCGCACACAATCATCTAATTATAGAATACCAAATTCTATACTTAGGTCTCTACATAAAAGCGACCTGGATTTGAGAACTAGCTTCATCTGAAGTTTCTGTACCTTTACAAAAAAGTCAATGCGTACCACAATTGAGAACCACTGAAAATTAGGCCACCTACCAAGACACAAGTCATTTGTCTTGTGAGTAGAATACCTTGTTTGAGTGGAACAGGTGGAAAGGAGGACAACAGCAAAAAATAATTTGTATGTTTTTTGTCCTTCTTCCTCTAACCTCTAAGCTACTGTCTCAAATGGCACCAGGCTGTTGTTTACTTCAAAAAGCAGCACTTGCAGTCATATAGCTTTCCTCCTTGGTAAGCACGATCCTATCTGTGTACCTACATACATTGTGTTGTCTCAACTGTGGGAGCACATGCATTTTAGCATGAAACAGTTCAGACTGTTTTATTGAGAGACAAAATTGGTCAATAGCTATGCAAATCATCCTAAAGAATATGATGCTCGTGATCAAACCATATGTGTGTAGATTGTTTGTGCACATATACATTTACATACATATGCATTGGGTTATGGTTTGTGTAAACTTTAACAAAGAAAAGGTGCAGAACTGAACACAACATATTCTTGGATAATACTGTTCCTGGTGCTATTCTGCAAGGATTTTGTGAAATTATTACTTTCTTACCTGTATGCGCTTGCCTCATTAGTAATGTTCAGCCAATTTCATCTTTTTTCTATAACTGCTAGGTGATGTGTAGGCATTAGAAGGCTATATAGTGCCTGAGGGTATTTTTTTAGCTACGCAGGACCTATTTTTAAGAAGTGGTGGTAAGGGAATGATATCAGCCCTGAGCCCAGGAGTTTCCAACAAGTTCTCTTAGGAGTGTACAGAACCACGATTGGGGAAACAGAAAGGAAAGCAGAATAAGGTCACTCAGCTCTCTCTACCCTTGCTGTTTTCTTTCAATATTGGTTAGATATGGCAATGTCCTTTTCTCTTACAAGGACTCAGCTTCAGGGTGAGAAAAAGCTTGAAAATGACAGGAATGCATTTGCTTCATACAATCAGAATTTTTTTTTTTTTTTTTTTTTTTTTGCTAATTTCTGTTGCTTTTTGCTTCGTTCATCTTAAAATGTATATTCCCTCTGATCAAGTAATCTTCTTTTAAATTACCCAATGTAGATCAAAGGAAAGTAATACCTTTCCCTTCTTCCCATTACCGCCCCCCTTGCCATTACTCAGTGTGTCCAAAAGTAGCAAAAGTAGCAAAGGAAGGGTACCTACAGGATTCAGGAGAATGGTGAGGAAAAGTTCACCTCCTCGGATACTTTTGTCCAGCTCCTGAGGACCCCCTGGATATTCCTTGTAAAAAATAGTATGAGTGAAAAGGCCACAGGTCTGTCGAGGGAGCACCTGAGAACAAAATGACAGCACCATTGTAATATTAACTTATTTCTGCAAACTCACTCTAACATATTCACTGTAATACTTCCAGCAGCCTGAACAAAGCTGCAGACCTTTCAGACTCTGTAACCCAGTGTGTTTATAGGCTATAGTGTACCTTCTGCACTCTCACTGTAAGCAAATTCCTGCAGATATGATTTCCAGATGCAAAGCTGCATCACACATGCAGACTGCGTTAGCCAGCTTATCCAGTAATAATTAAGGGCTTGTTTCCTGGTGTTTGGAAGAGAAAAAAAACCCAAAAAGCTAAATATTTCTTCCTTTGGCAAGGTTAGTTTATTAAAGGATAAATAATGCTTCCTGGCCGTCTTCACTACTGCAGGTAATTAATGTTATAGGGACACTGAAATGAGTTGTTATTCAAGGCTGTGGACCTCAAATGAGTTTCAGATTTTCCTCAGTTTAACATAACGTATCGTATATTACACAGTGTCCGAAAATCACAGTGAACCCTTCTCCTCTCTGTCAAACCTTTCCAGGACTGGTGGAGCATGCACGTGAGAGTGATCTGAGGTCAGGCCTCCATTCCATCATTAATCAGGAGGCTGCATGTCAGAAACTTGCAAGCTACCAGATGTGGGAAGTAAACTGATCTTGGAAAGTCAGATGTTTTAGTTACATTGCTACCTAGTTAAAATCAAAAGGCTCTGGTGCACCGAGTAAAGACAACAAATGTCAGAGTTTATAGATACTGCCTAACATATGCAGAGACATGATTCACCTGGGGAAGGCCTTTTGTTTCCCTGCAGTCAGTGCTTTCATTTTTCTACTCAGTTAAAAGACAAATAAACCTTGAGATCAGTGAAGCATTTTAATGTGTAAACGCGTTGCTGAATTCAAGTCTATGCCAATCATAATTGGACTTTGTGCAGTAACTTGTTGGTTTTGATTGAGACATATTGAAGGAATGGCATCAAGCTGTGCCGGGGAGTTTCAGTTTGGATGTTAGGAAAAACTACTCCATAAGGGTGGTTGGGAACAGGCTGCATAGAGAAGCAGTGGAGTCACCATTGCTGAAGGTGTTAAAGAAATGTGGAGAAGTGGTACTTAAGGACATGGTTTAGTGGGCAGTATTGGTGGTAGGCAGACGATTGGGCTGGATAATCTTAGAGGTCTTTTCCAACCTTAATGATTCTATGATGCCATGTTTCCTTTGTCAGAATGTTGATCTCCTAAATAAGATTTTACATGTGTAGGCATATTTGCATCTGTTAGGGCTTTTCTAAGGTTAAGGACCCAGCTTTGAAAAATGTATTTCTAACTTAGGTTATACAGATATAAGTTTTGCAGTTGCCAGTTTCAGTCTCACAGTCTTGTCCATTCAAACTTTTTTTCCTCCAAGCTGCTTGCTGGGAGGATGAGTCAAATAATTTTACACAATTTCCTGCCTTTCAAACAGGTGAAATATGCATGTGAAGAGCCCTCTCCCTTCTCACCCAAATGTGGGGTGTAGAAGAATCAAGCATGTGTCCAGTACAGAAGATTCAGGAGCACAGCTCAGAAAGAAACTTTGGCCTTAGAGAAGTGCCAGAGAAGATTACTTCTACATGTTCGTTTTCTCTAGTGTTGAGTTTCTAATCCTTTCATACACTGACATGAAGCAGACCTTGAAACATAGATCTTATGCAGTTTAATGAATTTCAAAATATGCATTTATATTTTGATTGATGGTTGGTAGTAGATTGGGTTACAAATGCACTTAGTTTCTGAAGATTACATTAACAGTTGCCTGAGTTTGTGTGACTTTTTAAAATTGCATAACAAATGCACTCTTTTGGCATCTTTACAAATCCTCGATCACAGAGAATTTTAATGATTGCTGTAAAACTTGAAACATTTGGTAAAAATAGCAGACTTTTGAATCACTTAAAGTAATATTGCTATGAAGCATGGAAATGCAGTGTACCATGATGCCATTGTGGATGAAGCCCCGTCTGTACCGTGCAGGCTTCAAGTGTGGGTATTCTTCTGTGCTGGTCACTCGGATACGCCAGACCTTCTTCCAGGCCTCATACAGCTGGATGTGGACTGGGTAGACTCCAGAGTGGTGTGGAGCCACTGCGTACCCCATGTCAGTTGGTATGCCATGCTCCTGCGACACAGCAGAGAGAAGGATATATTTAGGAGCAGAAAAAGAACACGTAATTCTTCAAAGATTTTCTCCTGTGGATAACAGCTTTGGAGAAGCTGTTGTCCTTGCACAGCCTTGTATCTATTTGTATGTAGCACATGCTAAAAACAGGGGAGAGGTGGAGGGAGCTGGAATTAGTTTGATGTCTGTAGAGTGATAAATAATCCTCTTGGAATCCTCTGTGTTACTGTTTTGTAGAGAACAGGTTTATCTGCCTGTTCATTAGATGTTGCATGCCTTATAATATATGTTCTGTTTGGTTCTGTTTAAAGAATCTTGTAAATTATCAAATAGATTAGAGCAGTAAGCAGAAAAACTTGTTGCTGTGACATTTGTGGCTTGTTCTTTCCTATTACTTGAATAATAAATAGCAAGATGTCTTGCTGATACAAAAGAAACAAAAAAATAAGCATATGTTCCCTATAGCTTCTGAATATACTTGTTTCCCAAAGTATTAGGGTAGTAGCAAAAAATCTGGACTAAAAGACATATTTTCTGTTTCATAAATATTTATTCTGTTTTTCTAAGGAATTACGTGCATTTTCATGAATATAATCTGTAGACTATATTGAAAATACCTCCTGAAGGAACAATGAGGTGTTTATATGCAGGTAGATGGAATTAAGGAGCTAGAGTGTTAAGTGTACTAACGTGTGGAGCATGTTCCTTTACTCCTGAAGATTTCTTGCCTTTGTTCTGCTACTAATTGCATCCATGACCTCATGTGGTCTATCTGAAAAACTCATCTGATGGGATTATCTGATGGGGCCCCTTAACCTTTTCTGTAGACTGGGGTGTTTTTAAGAATGCATGTGATTTGACTGAGTGATTAGCTTTGTTGGGCTGAGTGATGTAAAGAAATGTACCCAGCATTTTGTCACCAACTACTGCCAGGAAGAAAGGCTATGTTCTGCCTCTACTTCCTTATCCTCACACTCATTTTCAACCCCTTCAATTTCTAAGTCCTTTTCAACTCCCATGGGAGATCTCCAGGGGATCTTTTTCTATGCTCTGAGTGTTTACTGCATCTCTTTTGCTCCCAGTGCCATGTGATGTGGGACAGTGCCCATGGCCCCAGTTTCTCACCTTCTCTCCTCTTCTTCCCTAGGTGTCAATAAAAGCACTTGCTTCTCCTGCTGAGAGAGCTGCCACATCAGCTATTTTCTGTTCATATATAATTGATACAGATGAAAATGGTTAAAATCTGAGCTGGTGTGCTTGCCCTTCATCTTGCCCGTATTATCTAATAACTGTTGATTACTTCTGGGAGTGGCAGGTTCTGTAGGGCATCTTTAAGTACTTTGCAACGAAAGGCTTTTGGTTCAGTGAAAAAAAAATAAACCAACTGGGAACTTGAGAAACACCATTTAATGCATCCACTTAAAATTATCTGTTTCTTACTAACAAATATTTTAGTTACCTGCTGATCTTGGGGGAGGTGGGGAGAATGTATAAAAAGAACACCAAACACACTCTTTTGCAATTTACTGACGGAAAAGTGTGACTTTCAGTTATTAATGTTATATACCTGAAAAGCATGAGTCAGTTTAATGATGAATAGAAGTACAGTTAGAAGTGTCACTCTTCTCTTTTCTCTTTTCTTTGAACATGAATAAAGGAATAGGTTATGTCTAAGGGTTTTTGAAAAATCTCACTATTTATTAACAGAATGTCTGAACAGTCTATGATGCTCACAGTCAGATGTACTGAATTACAATGTGCAATAACAAAACTTCACCAAAACCTGCTAGGAAGTTCGCAGACACAAATGTAAAGCAAAAGTGTCTTGATCTAGCTAATGACTGCTACTGTGAGTGTGTCTGAAAGGAGGTATCTGGATGAATACAGGCAAAACCCTGTTTATCTACTTACTATTTGCAGCTGGTATTGCTATAGTAACAGAACCTCAAAACGGTAATCTACCTTTCACAAATAAAATAAGGCACCACTTTGCAAGTTCTCAGTATAAGAAGATATTTAACCTCTGAATAGACCTGCATACTATGCAGTTCATCATTTAAGTACATGTCACTCAGACACCCAATATGATTTTAAAAAAGATATAAGCAAGACGTAATCATATGTGACTAGTTCCATGTTCAATTTACTTGTGTAAATTAAACATTAGATGTCCTATTTTAGTGATTTCTTTTATTTTGTTTTTCGTATTTTTGTTATTAAATTTAGTTTAGTTTGAGAATTAATGTGCTAAAGGAGAAGCAAATACTGAATCCAAGAAGGACTTGCTCCAAGTTGTCAGGCAAGATGGGAGGTGCCATTAGTGAGTACACTCTTTGCTCTAAGGAACAGTTTCCTTATTTCTACATTCAAGACTTTGTAGATGTGCATAGTTTGGAAAATTTCTTGACCTTTTTGGCACTACAAAGAACAGTATTACATTCTTGAGCATGCTTGAGCTGGGACAGGAATCCAAAATAGGAACTGGAAATGCTCAGTCCTGCCAGTGCAGCCTGGCTCATCTGCACAGCCTTACGAGAGCCATGTGCAGGACAGGTGCTTCTATGAGTGGTTTGAAAAGCTGAAGTAATCTGCTGTGGCTCCTTTCCTCTCATAATTATCAGTTTCTTTCAAGCAAGTGAAGACTTTTGACCTTGCTATTTGTACAGAAATGAGCTGTATTCATGTCAGCATGTACTATGTATATTCATTCATTCCACGTTTGCTAAACAGAAGACAGGTAATGGAGACTTAGTGCATTATTCCAGGGCTAGGTGTATTCTCAGAACATAAGTTTGAGTTCTGTTTTCTTCTGTGAGCAGATCCTGGAGATTTTAGTTTAAAAACAAAACAACAACAAAACAAACAGTGACAGGAAAATTGGCTACTTATATTAGCAGAATGTTGTTTGAGAGAGACTCAGTTCCCGATTGCAACAAATACTGCATTTACTTGTTAAAGCACAATAAGGATTAAAATTATGCTATATGACAATAGTAAATCTGGTTTTTAAAAATGACTATTGATTTATTTTACAGAAATATATAATACTGGCCATTACTGGGGAGGGAATAAGAAAACCCAGATCTTTAATTCAACAAATCTTATGTCTACTGTGGATTTCCTCATACAATCAATTGAACTGCAAGAGTACCTTTATATAACTTTCTATAACTAATTCTTAGATGAAGAAGTTAATATAACCTCAGGCACATTTTCAAAAATGTTTTGACTTTGTCCAACAGTAGGTGATAGAGAAAATTTGGTACTTTATGAGATGTTACCTTCCAAAGTTGAGATTTACATAAGCTTTACATACTTTTAGTACTGGGATATATTTTTAATATTGCTGCAGGTAGATGAGATTCCCTATGAGATTATATGTTACTTTGCAAGTTTAAAATACTTATTAAAGTTTTTGTGTGTGTTTTTTTTTTTTTTCTTTAATTTTATTTTAATTTGATAAATGAATTTACCACTTACTTGTCAGCAATCATAAAAATATGATTCTAGACTTCCTGGACACAAAATCTTGTTTATATTTCTGGATAATTTTACTGAATATATGCTTCATCCTTTTAGTTCAATTCTGAACTTTTAAAATAATGTTTAAAAATTTTCTAGCTAGAAAAAATGATTCAGCAAATAAGAAATTATTGTTAAGAGACAGAAGTGCTAATGTGAATCTAGCTTATAATCAGGAAATTGAATCCAAGGAGCAATATAAGAGAGGATCTGAATTGATTTGTTTTGTAAAAGTGCATCTCACTTCATATCAGATCATAGTGGTGTTTTTATAGCCTATGATAATTTTTGCCCTCTTTCTACCATACATGGGTGTATGTGTTCACAAATGAGAGCAGAAAATAATTAGAGAGCAAATAAATCAAGGCAAAAAAAAAAAAAAAAAAAAAGCTGCAGGCTTTGGATTAAATATATCCTAGTTTTTGTAAGATAAGGATATATAAGAGGGAGAGGAAGAATATTTTATGATTAAAGGTTGGCAGTGAAAATCAGCAGAACTTGGTTTGTTTTATTTTTGGAATATGGGCTAGCAGAGACATCTGCTTACATGATTTGTTTACCTCTGTATCAGTTGTCTGGCCTATAAAGACATAAGAATAATAATATCTGAGATCTTATCAGTTTGCAAAGCTTAATCCATTAATGTCTGTAAAGGATTTGGGGATCCTCTGGTAGGAGAAGAAAATAAAACAACCCACAAAATATGATTGACAAAACAAATTAATAACCAAATAAATATCATTTTCCTTTAACTGAGCTTTGAAATATACTATCCATATATACATAAATAATAAGACGTTAGAATAGCAAAGTTATAGTTAGTCTGCAACCTGCTTTACTGAAGTTAAAATCACTTGTTCTGGTGTCTACTTGTTTAAGCTTTCTGGTATAAATCTTCCCCAAACAATAACAGACAGAGATAAAGACCAAAATCTAAAAAAAAGGACTTTGCTCTTTGTCTGTAAAAGTGAGGGAAGAATGAAACACGAGCATACTGGGTGCATCAACAGTGGGAGTGTGCGGGGCTTGGGCTTCCTCTCGTCCCCATGCAAGGGAAATGTCCTTTGAAACAGCAGAAACATGGGAGGCTGCATGGAATCCTAGCAGGTATTTGTTTCCTATAGCTGTTATGCCCTGCTCTTAGAGCGTGAAGCTGAGGATGCCGTGAGTGCTTGGGAAGAGGTGTGGCAGGGATGGGCACAATGGGCACTGGCAGCTCAGGCACGTGTGGGCAGGGATTTTGTTAAGCAGGACTTCCTTCACTTCATGATAGAACCAGGGCTACGGGGCAACAGTGTTTGTGAAGGATGTCAGAAAACAACTTCCTCTCGCTGTCTGGATGTGGAACTGCAGAAATGAGGAAAGATGTGCTCATATTAAAGGTGCTCTCATTTAATTCACAAGCGGTTTACAGGCAAAGGGAATTCTTTAAAGACTGTTGATTTTATAAAGCCCCAGAGGTTTACTTATTCACAGAGGTTTACTTATCTGCAGTGAAATCAAGGTAATTGCGCACCTAATTAGCAATTAGTTGTATTTATACAAATTTATTTAGCTATCTGATTTCTATGAGTATTTTGTGATGTACCTGTTTGAAGCAGGCTGCAATTGTAACCTCTCTATTTATAGAGCCTCACTCTGAGGTGCAGACATACCAGTGTAGAACAGAGCAAGGTGTTTTATCCAGCTGCCGCTGTAACACCTGCATTTCTTGCCTGTATCCAGCAGACTGTATTTATGCTCAAGCTTCTGCAAACCAAAGATTATACACTGTGTAAATGCAAGAGCCAATAAAAATTGTGCTTGTGTACATTTATAGCTCCATGTGATAATATCCATGAAATACTGTGTTTCAGATAAACTGGCTTATGTTTGTTAAGCTTGACTTTAATCCACAGCACTCAGAGAACATTCCTTTTATGAAACGTTTTCTCTCAGTGAACATCACCACTCCTGAGCCTCACGCTTCCTTGCGTGAAGAAACTGCTGACTGTGAAGGGATTTAGATCTAGCCTTTAAGTTCCAGGTTTCCAGTCCGTGTGATGTTTCTTCCAAAATGAAAATGCCCTGAGGAACTGACAGGTCTTAATGAAGAGATTTTTTTTGTTGTGGTGGTGTTTTTTGGGATGTTAAAGCAGCCTTGATTGCTCTTTTCTGATATAATTATTTGCTCTCCCATCTTGAAGAATTCATTTTGTTCTCACTGTCTTTAAAAAATGAACAAAGAAATACATCAGGTGAAGAATGAATGTGATCGTACTTCTGAATAATTACTGCAGCTTCCCTTGCACAAACTGGCAAAGTGTTTACTTACAGTTAAAACAGGAGGTGGGCAGATACGGTCAATAAATAGGAAATGTGTGAGAAAATGGCATAAACGTCAAGCTGCATTCCCCTGAGTATGGTTCTAAATAAAGATAATAGAGCACAAATAAGATTTATAGCACTAAGCAGATTTACTGTTCACTGTTCTGGACCTATAATATAAATTTGGAAACACGCTGTGAAGTAAGAGAATAATAAAAAGGACTCGCTTTCATTTTGGAAGACTTAAAGAAGTGCGATTGTAGAAAAGGGAATTCCTTTCCCAAATAAGACATGAGTCTGAGAATGAGAAAGAAGAGCACAAGGCTATTCTGGAGTCATAGCTGGAAGCTCTGTTAAATATCAGGAAAGCTGTCATATCAGGAAGACAAATTTCTACCCCAGAGTGGACTTCAAAGGAAGCCTTTTGAAAAGAAATGTTCTCATAAGTAAATTGCAGAGCTCGTATCGATTCAAGGTTGAGAGGTTGGTACAACCCCTGTCCAAATGCTAGCAGGAAATAAAGCTGTAATAACTGCAGCCTTTCCCTGACATCAGCCTCTTATTTATAGGCACCCAAAGGAGTCTCTACCCTTCAATGATGATAGGAAGATGGGCTTTCTGTAGCTGATGATCTTTCTGTAGCTGAAGTTGCAAACATTCTATTACAAGCTCTGTTTTCAAGCTGCGTTATAGATTTTATTTCTGAAAGTGATTTGATCTAAAAGACATCGTGTTACCTGAAAATACTAGGAAAATTTTCCTACAGGTTTTGAAGATGAATTCATACTTGAGATAGGAATTACTTAAATTGTTCTTGCATTTAAAATCTCAACTATATATAGATTCCTTAGGCAGTTAGGCCAGGTCAAACAAAAGACATGAACAGGCCATGCCAGGAGTGACACTGTAACACTGTTGTAGAAGAGAAAAGTCATCCAAAACGCCTCTGCACTGATTTCCTACAAAGAAGTAGATGAAGGAGGTTATCTAGAGAGAAGAGTGAGCGGTTAAGCCATTTTTAATGAATTTGCTTTAGAGGTTGTTAGGAAAATATTTTCGTAAACAAGGGAATAAATTGCTTCCAACTGTTTGTTAAGACATCTGCCTTGGCTTGGCTTCTTGATGCCTCTTGGCTTATGTGAGGGATGGGGAGCAGGGTTTACTGCTGGCTGCCCTTTCTGAGCTGTGAGGGGCTGAACTTTGTGCTCCCTAAGCAGCAGAGAAAGCTTCGCTGCGTACTCTGTTCTTCTGAGTGGCACAGGTTACTTGGCATTTCTGTGCCTTGTCAAAGTCCACACAAGTGTCTTTTCTAAAGAGAGCATTTTCAGACTTCAGCTGTTTTTTGTGATGCTGCTTAGTAGAATTACCCTGAATGGACTGTAAGTGGTTTCCACGTGACCTCTGCGTGTAAGTGCTCTGAGCTCTGGGCAGTGCTAGTAGGATGGCTCTTGTAAGTTAACAACAGAAAAAAGCAAAAAGGAAATGTTATCTGTAAATATTACTAAAAGCTTAGCTATGTGAAAAAGCATATTTTCAGGTCATCTAAAAAAGCACTCTGAAGTCCCACAGCTTCACTTATTTACCTCATTAGCTTCAAGGTTTCTCACAAACCATGCACAACATTTCACAAAGTTGATCGAAGCTTTCACCCTCACTTCTGAAGCTGTTTGCACCAGACATCAAGGAGCTGATAACCTGTGTATTATTCCCTTCCTAAAGCTCAAAAGGCCAAATGACGTCTGCCAAGAATTCCCTGCTTCTGATCCCTGTGGTCTTGCAAGACAAGGTCGATGGGCTGCTTCCTATCCAGTAAGCCTGTGCCGGAGAAAAAGGGAAAATTCAGCCCAAGTTTGAGTCAGTGTGTTTTTTTTAGGGCTGAGTTACCAATCTTGAAACCTTATTTTTATACCTATTTAAACATGTGTATAATACAACTAATATAGCCACGCTTTCCTTGCTGTATTTATATGCAAAGGTGATCCATCTGGTAACTCTTACTTACCAGTGCAAATTCTTTGTTGAGGATCATCTGCTCCACCAGTGATGACTCATTGTGGAAGAGATGAGGCTGCATGTGACTCCACATATGAGGAAACCACCAAAATTCATCCACAGACCTCAACAGCAGGTCATCACCTTCATCTTCCTCCTCAGTGCCTGCAAAAGATCGAAGAAGAAGAAAAAAAAAGAATAGAAAAGTAAAGCAGAAAATGTCTATAATTACTTTGGTGGGAGTTTTCTTGTTTGCTTTCAAGATAGAGGCTGCTATAAAACCTCGTGTCTGGCTCTGATTTCTCACTGTGCTACGGACAGTCTCTAAAATATCACAGAAGGAATCAGATGAGATACGATGGCTGATAGCTCTCTCTTTCTATTCCTGACACCATGTTAGTTTACCGTAGTTCTAACACAGTGTAAGTTTTAAGAGTGAATTGCTGTTCTATGTAATACACTAGAGGTTTCTAGAAGTTCAGGCTCCCTGTGAAGATGATGATTGGATGGACTGCCCATGGTGGTGGTTGAGTCACTATTCCTCAAAGTGTTCAAGAAATGTAGAGATGTGGTACTAAGGAACATGGTTTACTGGGCAATATTGATGGTAGGTGGACAGTTGGAATGGATGGTCACAGAGGTCTTTTCCAACCTTAATGATTCTATGACTTGTATCCACCTGCTTTGGTCCTGGTTGACACTGCATAGCTGAGGCTGGTGTGGTGGCACTGCAGAATGCTGTGTACCAGTATCTTGCTAAAACTTACTCTTTACTGCTACCTCTTGAACCTCAGCAAAGTGAAATCTGATACTTTCTGGTAAAAAATGAAAAAAAGTTTCAAAGATGTGATAAACACAAAAATGATGACAAGAGTTTTATGTGTTGTTTACTGTGGTTCAATATTCTATTCTTGCCATGTTCAATCTCTAAGTAAAAAGAATAAAAATTCCTATGTTAGTGAAGAATATCTGCGTCAAGCAGAAGCATGTATGCTTATAACAAATCAAACCCCCCTATCTAAGAAATGATACAGTGCTACTTCCACAGTATGCAGACATATGTCTCCAGTGCTTTTTTAATCTAGGAAGGAAAAGTTATGTTTCCACTAACTTTACCCTCAAATTACTGAACAACATTCAGTTTATTGCACTTTCCTGTCTTGTTCCTTTATCATCTTACTTTAAACGCCTTTATTTAGCTTTGGTCAAAGAAATAATTGTCCAAATCAGTCTACTGATGCAAACATGGATTGCTTTCTCTCTATGGGCCTTTCAATTTCTGCAAAAATCATTGAAACAAAATGTTCCATGGATGTCTCTGTTTACCTTTGTGGTATGAAGCAGGGACACACAGAGATAGCTGCTCAGTGCATGCAATGCATCTCTTTAGTTTTCACTTTTACAGGTCTGTTTTGAAGAATGCTACTACATAAACGGAGCATTTATTTGAAACTTTTGCCTAGCATCACTGAATTTATCAATTTATTTTCCTTTGTAGCACTCTGCAAGTCCTAAGAAAGCATGAAGTTGCTCCCGCTGATGGGAGCACTTCTGGAAAAGAGGAAAACAACCTTGTTTTTAGGTGACTTCTTCCTCAGACAAAGGGACTGATGGCTGCCCTGTCTGCTCCATTATCCAAAACTTCTCGATGGTGCATTTTTTAATGACTACTCTCTTGTTTCTTGGAATATATTGTTCATTTGCACCCTCCCAGGGAAATGCAATCAGAAGGGAGATAATTAACATAGACATTTCTGTGTGAAAGCAGGAAAAAGAGAAAAGGGTAAATATAATAAAGAACTGTGATTATTCGACGTATAAATAATTTAGTCCAAATGATAGTTTATTGCCATATTAAAGTATGGTTGTTTAGATAGACTATTTTATATCACATTTTATAGTGATTTGTTTATAAATTTAGATACAATTCATCAAAATTTGCACATATTTATTTTACCATAGCAAAGATCAAACAAGATAAAGCATAAAACTTCCTAGCTTATACAGACAAAGTGTCAGAGTTGGAACAGAAAGGCTTGAAGTTTAACACTTGGTGAAGTTTTCACTTTTTGGAGGACTATTTTCTTTATAGGTTATGAAAAGAATGTTTGATTTTTATGAAATATCAAATAGAGGTATTTTTAAAAAGTGAAAAGCTTAATGCAGTATTTGCAAAGTGCTTATATATTTTGAATATTTTTTGCCCAACATCTTGTTTAAAGTATTGAAAGCAAAACAAGAAATTGGGAAGTTTTCCATTCTTGTGTAATCAGTGTTCTCTGTGTGAGTTTCTATCTTCATTTTAGTCTGAAATCTCAAAACTGCAGTAGGCCTACAATCAAGAAGATGAACATATATCTACTTTGAAAGACAGTATGCACTTTGCACAGGTGGATAATAATTTGGTGTTTGATTGCATTTAATAAATAAACCTTCATTTTAAACCTACAGCAACTTAGAGGTCTCAAGCTCAAGATTGAAGCAATGTTTGAAGTTGCGATCAATAATATTAAAAATTTCAAATGCAAATTCTGAGAGTATTTTCGTTTCTGTTGCCATAGTGTAAACAAGCAGAAGATATTTGCTAGAACTGCATAACCAGTAGTCTTTACTCTTTTTTTTTTCTTTTTTTCCTATCAGTTTCACATCTACAGTGTAGTATATACCTGTGCTACAGGAGGGAATAATGATGGCGTTAAGATATGTCAGTTGTTGTACTGGTATGCAGGCAAGCCAGATAGGATCAGTATTTGTCATACAGAAGTCAGCAGCATCTTTCAATGAAAATGCTTAACTGTTTAATATGCCAACACATTCCCAAGATCATCTCCCTCCTGTAGATTTAAACTGATCCTAGTTCTGGAAAGGCAAGCAAAATCACAAATTAAAGAAGTCAATAAGGTACAACAATCTTGGTGCACTAATAAAACATGTTGAATATCTGATACTAAAAGCTTCTGGGGGTAAACAAGCCACATTTACAGTAATTAAAGAATACTTTTCCATGTTTTATTTATTATGAGTCAGTAAAGTGTATATTGCATAGAGAATACTTTAGAATCTTTCCTCTAAACTGATATGACAAATGCCACCACTGACCTGTAAATGAAGTGCGCACTTAAAAACTTGAATACTTCACTGAGTATAGACAGCAGCACGTCCCTTAATGGAGGCAATGGCATGCTTCAGCTCATTAAGTAGTTTAGTGCTATTTTTGTATGCCTTGGGATCCCTAGGAGGACAAGCAAACATGCACATACTCCTGTATTCTCTCACTGTGGCAGCAGCAGTGAATCAGAAATTGGTCTGTGTTATACCAGCTGGGCAATGAAACCTGTCGGTTAGTAGGAACTGGCTTCACTAAGAAATAGTAACAGCATACGGAGACAATTGGGATTGTCAGAAAAAGTGCTTTGGCAGGTTAAGTGGGATTTTGTAGGAAAGCTTCATGTTTTCTGCCAGTCACTGCCTTCATCTTATAATATTTCTAATAAGTAATCTTCTTTTCTACCTCTTCTCCTCCTTGAATTTTCTTTCTGTGTGGTGGATACCGAAATGCCTGATACCAGCTTCACTGCAATGGAGCACCATCCTGCTTCAGAGCTGCTCAGAGCCTTGGGCTATTTTGTTTATTTTGCTGTATTAAGTGTATGTCCAATTAATCTCCAGAAGAGCTAACTATACAGGCAGGTCAAGCTGAAGTGAGCAGAATACTGAAGGTTTGTCTCCAAAGTTCTTTCCTAATCACAGATCTGCCAGTGGCTTGTTATATGACTCCGGGCAAGTAATTCCATCTCTCTCTACATCTCATTTTTCTCAGACTCTGCTGCTTATTTCTTTAGTCTCTAAGGTTTCCTGGGCAGCAGTTGCCTAGCATTATGTGTCCGCACAAGGGGAAAACAGCTTGGACTTTCAGTGGTGCCTGAGAACAACAGTAACAAGAATAATTTTGGTTTCCTTCTCTCTACTTATCTTTCAAATGATTTTTCATCCCCTTATCTCCCAGGGTCCTTTTTACTCTTCTAATTGATGACGAAATAGAGACATAAGAGGTAGATGAGCTGGCTAGCATCATGTTCACATGCTGGCAATGAAAGGGAGAGTACTGCTGCACTTACACTGTGACAGAGAATCTTCATCTTCCTGCTGTACTACGCAGCTACCTCATGACCTGTTGCAGCTAGGACTGTGTCATTCCTTGCTTCTAAAGTTCTCTCATCATTTTGCTGCTGCAATGCCTTCACATCTCCTCTGAGTGATTCCCAGCCTACATAGTGCCACTCAGGCAGGAAGCGTTAGATGTGGCTGAATGTATTGGCATTCTGGAGTCTTGAAAGATGAGAAAGGTGCAGTACAAGAAGGACAGTATATGTCTCTGTTGCAGTGTGTCTCTAAATATGTCTTTTTATGTTAGGGAGAAGAAGATGAAGGGGAAGGGAGGGAGAAAAAGGTGGGAAGGGAACATTGTGCAGCAGGGAAGTGAACCAAAAGAGAGAGAGGAGTCATAAAAAGAAGGAAATGTAAAAGCACCTAATCTTCCATGGAAGCATGGTGTGGGTATACAACTTGTTCCTGCATGCAGCACAGAGGTAACAGGATTTCAATTAAATTTATTTTCATCTTGTTTTCTCTTTTCTTGGAAAAAGAATGTACTTCTGAACTGTATGATTCTACCTTCATCATCCCTCCCAGTTTTCAGACACTTAAATAACTTCTAGTCATAACAAAATCTTATGTGTCCCATTTAAATACATCTGCCTCTTTAGAGGTTATGAGACCTTTTTTTTTTATTTGGTCTTGTATGTTTCTTCATATCTGTCATACTGGTAAATCTTTAGTATTTCTTCTCTGTTCTCTTGCACTGTGCAGAATTACAGAGATCTTGGCAGCTCCTTTTCTCCTTTTACAACCTAATGTTTACTATCATACATCTTTCAGAAAAGCACCAATGACATCTATGTATTCCTAATAACTTTATCCATAGACAATTCTTGCACCAGTGGACAGAGAATGAGACCCTGGATCTAAAATGGTGGAGCATATATTTTCCACTCCTCTACCGAGTAAGCGCTTTAATTTAAAAAAAGCATGTCTAAAGCTGGGCTTAAAATCCTGTCACCTATTTATCTGTAGCTACCTGAGAATATGAAGTTCTTTCTTACCTGTGTGGTAAAATTTTCCTGAAAATCCAAGGTTGAAGGTAAAATTTGCAACCTGAGTGCGCAGTACATTTTGAGTCTCTAGTAAAGCCTGAAATAAATAAGAAATTAACATGCATTTAGAAAAGTGAGCATTAATTTTTGAATTCCTCATTTAAAAAAATCATGTCCAGCTGAGGAGATATAATAAAGAAGATCCTGTTTAATATTTCACATTTTATTTTGAGGTTATTCTTTTTTTTCCCCCTTTTTTTCCTTTTTAAACTATTACAGTTAGCCTAATTTGCTCCGTCAGTTTGATGATCTAGCAATGCTAGTAGTAGATTCTAAGTGCTGAAGTACATGACAGACTTATTAAGTGTATTAATATATTAATATATTAATACTATACTATAAAAAATACTATATTAATATATAGTATTTTGATACTATATATTATTTGCAGTGATCTTGCAGGACTTGAATCCAGTCATTGAATCAGTGTACACTACATCACTAAGCAACTCACATTTGGCGTTATTAATGAGGCTTGATAAAATGTGCTTAAACTTCAAAGTTAGAAATATTGCTTACCATCCAGATGTGGAGGCATTAGGGTTTACTTACCTGCAGATACACGTTTGACTGTGTTTAATTACCTAATTCAGGATTATTTGTGAAAGTCAAATTTTGATCTATGGTGGAAGTAACATCCATTTTTCTCAACCAAAATCAAATTCATTTTTATTTTATCTCTTCTCCATGAAAAGGATAAGACTAATCTAAATGAAAGAGAGGACAAGTATATTGCTTGCAGAATAGGTGTAGTCCTGGTTCTCCATCTAATATGCATTTTTTTCATGTGCACGTTCCCAGCAAACACAGAAAAAGATAATGGTTCTGTCTGCATGAGCTGTCCACCTCTATTATTGGGTCATCAACTCTGCGCTGCTTCTAAAGATAGTCCTTGCTGCGCAGATTTCTGCTTTGAATCAGCAGCTCACAATCTGGATGTGCTACGTATGTGAGATGAATAGTGCATTTATCTCCCTATTGGTCTTGCCATTGTTGAATGGGCTATAAACTCTATTTTCATCAATTTTCCATGTCTCCATTATGTGGCTCTCTAGAACTTTTCACATCATCTACTAATAACATTTCTATTGATCAAATGTTCATGTTCTAGTAAAGTTCAAAGACAAAGTGAACACAATGGTTTACACGCAGCCCAAAGTCCAGCTAATGTTTCCTTTAGTTTCAAAAGATTACATTTCGTATGTTCATTAGGAAGTTCACTTTACATTATAGGAAGACAGGATCACTATTTTGTTCAACTCGCTGGTATAAATTAGAAAAAAGGAAAGAACTATTTGTGCCCAAAATGCAATTAGTCCGTTATAAGTGGTGAATCATGGATTTAAGAAACTGAAATGCAGATTAGTGGCCTGTGCAATCCTAATCCAGATGGGAGCCAAGCAAAACTGATATCTCCTTTGTGTTGCCGTGGGTTAGGAGATGTCAACTGCTGTCAGCTATTTTGGTAGAACATTAATTTTCTAAAGGTATGGATCTCATGTTAACTACAATATATATTTAGAGGCTATGGACACTGGAGCTCTAGTCTTTTCTAAAGCTTCATTTGCTAACAGTCATTAACAATAAAGGCATTGTTTAGGTGCCAGGCCGCTTCGGAGTGTAATATAAAAAGTTGTCAGAAAGTGCATCTTCATTTTACTTTTGTTCCAACAGAAACATTGATTGAATGTTAAAGAAGACTTAAAACAAACAGTGGTTGTCAGCCATTGCAGTCACCTAGTGGGTTGCTAAAGGAAATAAGTATGGCAATCATTGCAGTAAATCATGTGCTTGAGCATTGTGCATTGAGATACATGTTGGTCTCCAGCTTATACTGGCGGACATTTAATAAATTGATCATTTAAGTTCTGTGACAATTTCACATATTTTGGGGCTCTATCTACATACTATGTAAATATTCACCAACACGTTTAACCTTAGCTAATAGTGCTATTAATCTCTAGGAAATTGAGGAATATCCCCAGTTGATAAAAAGAGTCACTAAACTGACTCTGTTGAAGTCATAAGCAGAGAATCTGAGTTGTTATATGTTAGAATATAACTTCCCAAGCTATGTAGAGTATTTTATATATGTTGAGAAAGACTGATGGGCTGAGAAAAATCAATTCAATTTTCCTTTGAGGGAAGAGCACCTTGAGAAATTATTTCTTAGCATATAGTGGAAGAAGGTATGCAAAAGAACTGTCATTATATCACTTAATTTTTTTTCTCTCTAATTTCCCTCACACTCACGTTTCAATAAGATCACAGAACTGGAAGATAGGCAGAAGCTTTACATCCCAGTAAGGTCTCATTAAAATTTCAGAGTGAGGATTAAGATGTAAATCCTGTAACCTGCAGTGTGTCAAGCATTTTTCTCTGTCTAAAGGGCAAATCTGTCACTCAAACTAGATTTGTCTTGGTCCCAAATACTTGGTTTTATTGCCATTTCCATATATGCATATTAACTGAAATGATATGTGCTAAATTTCATTTTCATGACCTCACTCTGTTTTAATACTAAGAGGATACTGTTAACCTAATGCATTTTGTCACTGCTTACTTTCTGTAGAGGATGAGAAATATCTTCTGATTCCGAAACATCTCCCTGGGTGATTAGGGTCTACCTTCTCTACTTTCACAGAATATGTATTTGAACAAAATTTCTAATGACCTACACTGCCCTCACCAGTAATTTTGCAGAGTAAATAGTAAGACCTTTATATCGTACAGGGTACAGACTGTAGCACAGTACCATGACAAGAAAGGAGCTGATGATTTGCAATCTTGTGAGTGATTAAACCCCTGCTTTTAGTGCTGAAACAAGGAAGGCTGTTGTCAAGCGGGGTTGCTGTCCACGGGCCTCTGGGTGTTGCAGCCTGGAGGAGTTCCATGTCCCTGCCATCTGGTGCTAGAAGTTTCTCTGGGGCTCACAGCCTTCAAAAGAGGTGGAAGGCATTTATTTTATTCTAATTATACTCATGGAAGGATTTCACAGGATGAGGAAGGACTATTGAATTTTAACAGCTGGAAATCATATCTGCCACCAGGTGTGAATACAGCTATTCACACTCTGCTCAGGTCCTGCTGTGCTCTCCCTGCCTCTCCTTGGCAGACCTCACTCCCCGGAGCCTCATCTGTCCCCATCCCTGTTGCCACTCCCACTGACTTTGTATCATAACCTCAGGACTTGATGCTATCACTGAAAGAGAAACTTTGGAAGCTTGACTGGTAGGCACTGTAGGCACTGCCCACAACCCACAACCTTTTTTTTTTTTTTTTTTTTTTTTTTTTTTAATATATTTCCACTGCCCATAGTATTTCAATGCTATCTGCCAATGTACGTCTTTCCTTCAGCTTCAGTAGGATTATTCATTTTCCTTCAATTACTGAGTCTTAAAAGAGTTGTAAGTAGAAGGCTGTTTGTAAGCTGTTTGCTCACCATTCCTTTTTTGTTGAACAGTTAAGTAAACCGCGCTAGATAATTATTGTTTTCCAAGAAAAGAACCATGGAGCAAATCTGCACATGGACAAGCTGGCATGTCTCAGTGTCAGCCTAAGCAAATAGCTTTTTTTTTTTTTTTAGTGATTCCGGGTTGTTCTTTCAAGTACAAAAACCAATTGCCAGGAATATCTCAAAACTTGTAAGTTTCATTTTGTTAATTGATTCTTTATTTTGTCAATGAAGCTTCTCTCCGTGACATCCACAAGATGTTGGATGGTTTCTTCTTTATACTACATTTATATTCAGCAGTATTCCACATTAATCCATGTAATAAATTTTTGTAGATTTGAAGTTGCTGTGGTTTTTTCCTTCATAATTGGTGCATCTATTGTGCAGAAGTGATATTTTTCTGCTATGTCCTTGTTAATTATAACTCTAGCCTTCATTTACATAATAAACTTTTTGGGGCAATTTCTTCAGTAACATTTCATGGCTAATAGGAAGCAATTTGCTTTCCTTTATTAAGTACATTAAAACTTCATGCCCCAGACATCACTGACTGTAAACATTTGATTCTGCTCAAATTTAATGCACCAAGGCATTTTGCTCTGCCATATTAGGTTTATTTATGTGCTATGTTCTGGATTGTTAGCTGCTAATGAGACTTCAGCTCTTATTGCTCCGAGGCCTGAACACTAACCTCATTTTAATGAGTTCATTATTTGCTGCCTTCTGAATGGAAGACAACAAATTTTCCTTTTAATTAAAGGTCAAAATACCTCTGGCTAAGAAAAGTGAAGAGGTTATCAAATCCTTAGAGAAAGTAAAAGAATGACTTTTTCTGATTTTGATGCCAAGCATGGGTAGGCCAAATTGAGGTAAAAGATATTTCTCAGGGGACTGAAACTCCAAATCTAACTAAGCTAAATGGCAACAACACTAAAACATGGTGGCTAGCATTTCCAAGATGTGGTAACCAACACCCACCATCCAGAAAAAGAAAAGAATAAAAAGCAAAAGCAACAACAAAACGAAGCACAAAAAAAACCCACTTAAAGTTGGCCAAATAATTAAAGAGGTTTTCTTTCTAACTCAGAGGTCCTTGTGGATCAATACTGCTACTAGAGTATGAGTCCTTGTTAGCATGTGTGGTGATTTATAGGGTGCAGAGGGCAGATACTGGGTGAAGTGAGTCAACAAAATTAATCTTATGTTTCTTCTCATGGAAAGGGAGGCAAATGTGATCAGTGCTGGGGGCTGTTTGTAGTGAGAGAGGTATATGCAACTCGGTGTGTATGTGTGTGCATATGCAAGTAAAAGGGATAAGTGAACCCCTTCTTTGAAAATACATTGCGGAAATTTTAGTTAAATGAAAAAACAAAAAAGATTAATTACAGGAATTAACATGTAGCCTGTATTCTTTGTTGTGCATTTGATACCTGGTTACCATCCTAACGGCAGCCTAACCTAGAATTAGATTGATTCATGTACCTCTTGTGTGAGAAGCTGCTCATGTCATAGGTAGTGGTGTCAGAGATGTGAAGAGCATTTGTGAAAGGACTGGTGTCTGTGTGAACAACTGGTGAAAACTG